AGCGACGACGGCCGCGAGGTCGTCAATCCGCCCATGGGTTGGCCAAGCGGCGAGCCAGGCGCTCAACCCATGGGCGGCGCCTCAAGAATATAATGCGATCGACATTAATGTCATATTCCCACCCAGCGCAGAGCTTAAACTACTTCGCCTCGTCGTCGACTCGCCCGCGAGGTGAACACGCGGCGCGCCGCGCCCTACCCGTGGGCGGCCCTCCAGAAGTTGTGCGCGACCGAAATGGAAGCTTCATTCCCGATCCGCCCATGGGTTGGGCTACGCCGCCTCATTGTTGATTCTCTCATGGTTGACACGCGGCGCGCCAGGCGACCAACTGATGGACGGTGCCCCAGGAGCGAACGCGACCGACACGAATGCCAGATTCAGGAGGAAGCAGGAGATGCAGGAAAAGGGAACATGGAGCATCGTGAGCAAGCGTGGAGCAGGATGGCGCAGGATAATACAGGCAAGCGAAACATGAACGGCAGGATGTAATATGATAGAAGAGCATGGCGCAGGATGAGATTGGAAAGGCGGGGCGGAATAGCGTGAATCGGACGGGAGGGGCGAGGAGGCAGGAGCCAGCGTGATAACATCGAGAAGAACGAGAACATGATAGTGCCGATGACCGAGCTGCCTGTGTCACTGAACGAGAAGATGGGGAATATGAGGAGTGAGCGCAAAGCTTGGGCGCGCCTCCACCTGCGTTAACGACTGCGTCTTAATGCATTCTCTCTGTCAGTATGATCACATTTGCGGCGGAACAGATCTCTCTGCGCCGATGCCATCGGCCTCTGTTCGCTGAGGCCATAGCAAATTGCTGAGGACAATTACCTATCCCGCATGCCGCTCGTCGTAGATATACACATGGGGGCGCTGCGCGCCGGCTAACCTCAAAGGATCGCCCCGCTCCGATCACGGCTGCGCTCGCGTGGTCGGCAAGTTGGCCACGACGCCCCTCAAATCCCAGCGCCACTGCTGTGCGCCTCGCTCCCAGCTGCGCTTGGATGCCGTCTTGTCTGTCGGGTCGGGCGCGCTGGGCCGCGGGGCGCTCGGGTTCGCAATGGCGGCGACGTAGTCGGTTCACCGCTTGACCGCGGCCGCGGCCACGGCGCGCTTAGCGGAGCGCCTCTGCCACTCTTCCTCCGCGCAGTCCTCGTTCGGCCCGACCGGGCTGCGGCTCCTTCCGCGCTGCTCGCGCTCAGCGGGCGGCCAGGAGACGCGGGGGAACTCCTCGTCCAGCGCCGAACTGAATGGGGGGATGTGGACTGGACTGGGGGCAGGGGGGCATAACGGCAGCCCACGTTGCTACGAGTTTGTCAAGTTCCTCTCTCTCTCTCTCTCTCTCTCTCTCTCTCTCTCTCTCTCTCTCTCTCTCTCTCTCTCTCTCTCTCTCTCTCTCTCTCTCTCTCTCTCTCTCTCTCTCTCTCTCTCTCTCTCTCTCTCTCTCTCTCTCTCTCTCTCTCTTTCTCTCTCTCTCTCTCTCTCTCTCTCTCTTTCTCTCTCTCTCTCTCTCTCTCTCTCTCCCTCTCTCTCTCTCTCTCCATATATATAGATTCCCTCTTGTATGAGTGGGTTCAAATTGATTCCCTTTGTGGCGGTTACAAATAGATCCCCTTCGGTGGCGGAGGATGGGAGGGTCTGGCCCAGGGGGAAAGGCCCCAACAAAAAAAACGTCCCCCCCTGAAACCGCGGGTTCGGATTTTGTTTCGGGCCCGCCCGAGAAAAAATAAACGACGCCCGTGCGGCGTTTTTTTTTTGCCCCCCCCCCCCCCTTCTTCTTCTTCTTCATCCTGGGATCTTCCCCCCAGGGCCGACGGCCCAGCCCCTGAGCGAGCAGGCAGGTTCGTGGGCGTCAGCGCCACCTCGTCCGCCTCCTCCCCCTCTTCCTCCTGATATTTCTCCTCCTCCTCCTCCTACTCCTCTCCCTGCTCCGCGCACTCTTTCCCCTCTTCCTCGTCTCCCTCCTGCTCCTCCGACTCCTTCTCCGAATTCTTATCCCCAGAGTCCTCTTTTCCCGTGGTCCTCATCGTTCTCCCCTCCTTCTCCTGTTCCGCCCTGTCATCTACCCTCAGACCACTTTCGGGTCTTAGGTCGTGTCTCTCGAACGTTTTCGACAGAATCTTGACCAAGCATCTTAAAAAAGCATAGTTGTCATCATCATCGTCATCGGCACTATCTCGAAAACAATGATCGTCACCAGCATCGTCATCGACAGCATCTTGACACTGATGCATGTCATCAGCATCGTCATCGACAGCATCTTGAAACGAATACTTGTCATCAACATCGTCATCGGCAATGTCTTGAAACGGATGCTCGTCACCACCGTTGTCATCGACAGGATCGGGGGCGAGCCCGAACGCCTGCGCCAAGATCCCCACGCCCACGGGAAACGCGCCTGAAGCTGGTAGCATGCAGTGCATCCAGAAGTCCGCGGGCAACAATTTCTACATCCACATGAAATGCAAGCTGGACAACCACTTGACCTACAAACCGCCCGAGGACGAGCGGAAGAAGTTCAAGATGGCATTGACGACTGCGTTCGCGGGAAACCCCGAGGGCCGTCGCATGGTCTACGCAAACGACATTCTCGGCCTTCTGGGGAAGCAAGATACGCACGTTTGCTTGTACCACACAGGGAGCGGCGGCAATTCCAAATCGTTGATCTCAGCCCTCCGCCACAACGTCTTCTCGGACACCCACAAGTACATCCCCTCCACGTGCTTCGAGAACGAGGAGGAGCACCGCAAGCACGGCATCAACTTTGCGTTCTGCCGAGCCGCTACCATACAGGAGGCGTCCACGACGACGGTGGTGCGTAGCGATTTACTGAAGAACACGTTCTCGGGCGGAGAGTTCCCCGTGGGGCCGAACTACGGCAAGGTCACGCTCATGGTCAACTTGCGGACCACTGCTTTCAATTGGGAGTGCAACGAAGCTCCGCGCGTGAATGTTCCCCACACGAGCAAACTGGACTCAACGACTAGGCGGTCGAGGGTAGTGGACTACTTCGCCACCTTCGAAGCAAACCCTGCGAAAGTGAATGTCCTGGAGAAGCGGTTTCAAGACGACCCGACCGTGTTTGAGTTGTTCACGTCGCCCATGGGGAAGTACATTTACTTGCACGACGAGTTGTTTCCTTTCTTGAACAAGTACGGCATCGACAGGGTGCGGGGGTATCTGTCGCAGCCGTCAGAGCACCAGCTCAAGAGAGCGCAGGCGTTCGTGGCCGATATGGTCGGCGCGACTGCCCCATGGGAGAACCCAGCGGACGCCCCTGAAACTTCGAGTTCGAACTTGCTGCTGGAGATCCACAACTCGACAGAGGCCAGGGAATCGTTCGTGAAGTCCTACATCATTAAGAAGCTCGCCTGCATCCCTGGCACCCAGACGGACGACGGGACCGCTGAAAAGCCGTCCAGGCTGGACAACATGAAGAAGGCTGTCTCAGATCACCCTTATCTGTTCCGCTGGAACGCGGCGCAGGCTGGCTTCCAGCGCCTCTCATTGGACGCGCAACGTTTCGATTCGATGGCTGCGTCGCATGGCATGCCCACGTACTGCGGATACCCCGTCGTCTTCGGCTTGATGGGTGCATTGCAGAACGCCAAGGCATACGAGCCCAACTTCGCAGAGCTGGCTGTCCAGGCGAACAACAGGCTCATGTACCCCGTGGTGCCCACGCAGATGGCGGAGGATGAGGTCAAAGGAACTTACGAAGAAGTCGTGCGGGACCTGGTCGCCCTGCAGAGCCGCTTCGAGAACCTTGGGAACTCCCAGCATGAGAAGGAAGAGAAGGCCAAGCTCAAGAAATACATTTCATACGTGCGCACGCACGGCAAGGATGACGAGCGCTTTCCAGGCGGCAAAGTGATGGACGTGAAGTACGTCCAGCGCGCTGGGCGGATGCTCGCAGTCGGCCCATCCCAGCAGGGGCTGTCGAACCAGGCGCGCGCGATCGCTGGCGGTGGCAAAGCGTTCGACGTGGACTTCGTGGCATCAGTCTTGTCCGTTATCAAAGCCATCTCCGAGACGGGCGACGTGTCCCCGGCTGACCAGATCGTGAAGATCGCGACTGACCCCGACGCGTACAAGGACTTCCTCGCCGAAAATTACAGCACGGACGCGAAAGAGGCCAAGCAGACGATCTTCAAGATTGTCTTCGGCGCCAAGCCGCGGGATGGCAACCCTCTCCTTTGGTCAGTTGCCGCAGAGGCGCACCAGCTGTCGGCCGAGCTGATGGATCTCCCGAGGTACTCTCACTATGCCAGCATGTCAGCAACCGTCCGAACCCCGCGGCTTCCCGCCTGGCGGCCGTGTGCTTCACGGAGGAAAACACGTACTTGAAGCGCCTGGCGGGGACATTGGAGTCGCATCTGGTGTCGTTCAACATCCCGGTGCTCATGTTCGACGACATGGTTGTCAATTTGATTGACGACACCGTGGAGCAGCTGAACGCCGCCCTCGAAGCTTTCAATGCTTCGTCGCCTGTGAAAGCGCGCGTGAAAGAGTGGCCCGCGTAGATCGGCGCGCCATGTCGAGGGGTGATGTTTCTCGGCCGCCCCTGGGGTCGGCCGCCATTGATAGTTTGTATTTGCCCCGTCTCTGCTAGCGTTGTATGCGATGCGCTGGACATTAGAACATTGCACTTATACCATCAGTTCCTTCTGATTTTTAGCTGACCTTGAACTAATGTTGGAGAAGAAGAATCTCTAAGCGAGCTCATGCAGCGAACGCGAGGGAAAGTAACAAACAACCGCTTGTTGCACCTCTCTCTCTCTCTCTCTCTCTCTCTCTCTCTCGCCCTGCGGGGTGCCGAGGCAGATGTGCTTGCGCACTGCAGTTTGCGCGCGGGCGGGTGCGCGCGATGCGAGGCCCTGCCCAATGCCGCCATTCTTTGTCGCTGTTGCTTGCCCGTGGTAGCCGCCTTGGCTCAATCGCCTCATCGTGGTCCTTGGCGCTCGACTCAGACGCCATCTCTCTGGCAGCGCGTCTCTACCGACATGGCCGTCTACGGCAACTGGAGTGAGTTCTCCGCCGCCGTCAAGGACATGGACGACGGCATCAACCGCGGCGAATTCCTCAAGAAAGCCAGGCATGCCACTATCAAGAACCCCGAGATACTGCCAGATAACGAGGTTGGAAGGGCGTTCGCTTTCGCCCAGGCGTTCGGGCTCGCCCCCGAACACATGGCGTGCCCCTCGTGCGACGAAGAGTACGTCCTGCTGCGCGGGAAGAGGGGCGAGTGCGGAGAGCGGCTGATTTGGCGGGGCCCGCGGCACGACGGGGGTTGCGACGATTGCAACGGAGAGCAGCCCAGCGCCGCCAACATGCCGTTCTTCGATGGCACGCGTACGGGGCATTGGATGGACAAGCTCGACTGCCTGGTTATGTGGCTCGCTGACTACATCCACAAGACCACCATCTTCGAGCTGTCCCACATCGACCACAAGGTGATAGACGCATGGCTACTCGCCTTCAGGGAGCGCACGAGCGACTGGTACGACCTCATCTGTCCGACCTCGAATAAGAAACTGTGGGCGCCAGACAGCGGCGTGCGCAAGCGGCCCGCTGCTCGCCCCGCGCCAAAGAGAGCCCCCGCCATGAAGGTCGCGCAGCAGAAGAAGAAGCCCCCGCGGAAGGTGTCCAAGAAGTTTGCGAATCAGGTTAAAAAGACGATCGGCAAGCGCGTCCTCGTTGCAGACGAATCCTTCCTGAACAAAAACAAACCAGGGAAGTTGAACAAGGCGGCGCGCCCCAAGAAAGACCAGATCTGGATATGGGGCGCCGTGCTGCAGGGGAAAGCCCGCACGCATTTCATGTTCCGCATCTTGGAGCACCCCGCGGACGCGAAGGACGGCAATCCCCGCGGGCACAAGGAGATGCTGGACAATCTCAACATGCTCAACGTCGGCAAGGGCGACATCTTTGTGTCGGACAAATGGGGCGCGACCATATCACCCGCGAAGGCCATTCGCCACCAGAAGGGGCTCGCGCAGAGCACCCTGCGCCACGAGGTAGTGAATCACGATGATGGCGAGATCGTCAACGCCAAAGGATTCACCACCAACGCCATCGAGAGCAAGTGGGGCATCCTGAAGAGGTGGTTGAAGTCCAAGTATGGCGGCAAGCTCCCGAACTACAAGGACCGCGTGAAATGGCGCTACGCGATTAACGAGTACCAGGCGCGCTGCTACTACTACGTGCCTCTCTCCAAAGGTCTGCGTATTTTTGCCATTGCGTGAACTCAGTCGCGCCCGCGGACGCGGGGGCCCGATGGGCTAGCTTATAAAGAGTGGATGCGTTTCCATTCTCGCTCGACTGACAGTAGCTGCGCACCAGGACAGAGTGCGCCCGTATCTGAGAGCCCGAGATAGCAAACATAGTCTGTGCCGTCATCATCTGCGCCATCGAGATCCCAAAGCTCAACTTCATCATCGCAATCATCATCTTCAGCAATCTGAGAATCATAGAAACGCGGGCTGCCGTTATCGTCGTCGCCGGACGGAACGAAGGCGGGGAAGTGCATGGTCTCGTCCAGCATCGCAATGTGAGCCACCTCGTCCACGAGCAAGGAGAGGCACATAGGCGCGCTGGGCTCGGGGGCGGTCAGCCGCCACCAGGCGCCGTTCAGGCCGTCTGCGATTTTCCACTGCCGCATGCCCGCAACGCACGCCTCGCCACGCTGCGCGCGGGGCTCCGACTCATCCCACGCACCCATCCCTTCAAGCAACATCGCGATGGGAGCGCGTCCGCGCAGGTCGTGAGCGCGCTCCGTGTTGGCGGCGTCAAGATTATCAGTGGATTACCCAGGCGTCGACATAGCAAGGGAAGCGACGCTGATCAAAGTAGCTTAGAAATCAGCAAGCTGACAGGTTTGAGCCAACACTTTTACAGCGTTGTGCTACATGCTATTGCGCATCAGTCCTGTTTGAAGGTTTGACTCGTTGGCGCTGGCGGAGACAACCCCCGCCCTGGGTTCGCCCCCTCAGGATTCCAGCGGACTACTATGAATTGGCGGAGGATGAAGAGACAGCATGATCGGCATGGGAACATAGAATCCGTCGTCGATTCGCCCATGGGTTGGACACGCGGCGCGCCATGCACCTAACCCGTGGGCGGCGACCCAGGAGTTGAACGCGCCCGAGACCAAAGCTTGTTTGCCCCGACCCGCCCATGGGTTTGGAATGGTTCGCCTCGTCGTCAATGCGCCCATGGGTTGGACACGCGGCTCGCTCCGCGCCGAACCCATGGGCGGCGGCCCAGGAATGGAACGTGCCCGAAACGAAAGCATGATTCTCGACCCGCCCATGGGTCGGACTAGTTCGCCTCGTCGTCGATCCGCCCACGGGTCGGGCACGCGGCGCGCCGAGCGCCCTACCCATGGGCGGCGCCCCTGGAGTAGAACGCGCCAGAAAAAAGAAATAGCCGTCTCGACCCTCTCGGCGGTTGGATTAGTTCGCCTCGTCGTCGATCCGCCCATGAGGTGGACGCGCAGCACGGCGCGCGCCCAACCCAGTGACGGCGCCACGGGACCACAGAGCGCCCGAGACGAATGATCAATTCAAGAGCATGTGAGAAGAGGCAGTCATGAGAAGAAAAACAATGATCTTTTATAATCATTGCCGATGCGCGCCGGGTGCTTGCGCCCGCCCGGCGAGCACGATGGGGTTAGCAGGAGGAGCGTGCGCGCACTATGGCGCTTGAAATGGGCGGCACTGCAGGCCCTGGCCGCGCGTTAATTAATGCGATTGCACACGGCGGCGCCGAGCTCCTAGGCTGTCGCGCACGTGCGGAGCCACGCGCGCAGCGCCCAGGAAGAACAGTCACCGCCCTGATCAAGGTGCATCCTGCTCTGAGGCCGCGCGAACAACTCGATAGCCTCGTCGACCACGCGCAGGTTCTCCTCCCTGACGGCGACCCTCTGGCCGTCGAGCTGCAGCGCCAGTCTGTTCCGCTGGGCGCCCAGCACTCGGCCCGCGCGGCCATTGAGCTCCGGCCTGGACGCGGGGCCGAAAACCCACGCGGCGACGCCGCAGCCGACCTGGTGCAGGCAGAGGGTCGGCACCCAGCCCTCCTGGCCGCTCTCGAGGTTGCACGCGAACACATACCTCGAGAAGACGTTGCCGTGGTGCCCTGGCTCCGCCGGAGAGAATGCCCGCACGCGGTCGCCCGCGGCCAAGTGCAAGTACCCGTTCTCGGGCATGGAACGATCCTCCGTCTTCTCGATCGCCCGGTACTCCTAGCACGCCACGGCCTCGACGCCCGCCTCCGACCACTCCATCGGGACAGCGGTCGGTGCAAGCTCTGCGAGAGGCCTCGCGGGGAATGCGGCTGCGCCTGGGTCAGCGGCGCGTGGCATGTCTTCTTCGTGGACCCACAGGGCCACGATGCGCACCTCTTGGTTCAACTGCCCGGGCATTCCAGTCGCGCAGTAGCGCCCCGCCATGCCCCCGCGCACCGCCTTGAGAGAGCAGGCCTCGAGCTCCAGGAATGCCGCGGGCTCGGCCGGCCACTTCGGGCGCGAGCTCTGCACGTAGAATGAGGCGCCCTCGGGGCTGGCGTGGAAGAAGACCCCGTAATCGCCTTTGTGCGCGCTCGGCCCCGTCACCATGGCCCTCTCCTGGAGAATGCCGCGCCCTCCAGCGGCGTGAGCTGCTGGGCCCAGGAGATGCGCGTACTGCGTCGCGTGATAGCCAACGACAGTCGCGCCCGCACGGTGCCAAACTCCCTCGAACGTGAAGTCAGTGGCCAACGCGGCGTTCAATGGGGCCGGCTCTTTCACGGGTGCGCGCCACCAGCGGGCCCCGCTGCGCACCGCCCAGCCGCCCTCCCCCAGGCAGTCCAGGGCGAGCACGCGGGCGGCGAACTGCTGAGCCACGGTGTCGACCTGCTGGAGAACGCGCGCCATGGGTGATTAAGCCTAAGACTGCACGTATGCGAAGCATTGGCCTGGAACCTTGGCAGCAGCGCAGGCACCTCTCACAGCCGATGGCTACGGAATCAATCGAATCACATGCGGCCCTGTGAAAAACATCATGGGAATCAAGAGCAACCAGACATGAAATTCCTGCGTGGCCCGCGGGCTAGAGACTTCTAGGGCCGCGCTCCCAACCCGGCAGAGAGAGCTCTTGTTAAAGATCTTGTTGCCAGACGCGGCCATAACAGGACGCGGCTCTTGTTAAACATCTTGTTGCCCATAACAAGATCTCCGGCAACAAACCTGCCGCTCGGTTTGCCGGATGGGCGGCGGCCAGAGAGCTCGCTCACAGATCCGTCTCGAAACGCAAATTACAAAATCTACTCTCAGATTTTCGAACCGCCCATGGGTTGGAACACGCGGCGCGCAGGGCACCCAAGCCATGGGCGGCGCCCCAGAGTAGAACGCGTTCCCAAAAAGAAGTTATCCTCTACCCGCCCATGGGTTGGGCTCCACATCAGAACGAGAACGCGGATTGTTCAATGCCAATCTGCCCGCGAGTTGGACACGCGGCGCACCGAGCGCCCAACCCATGGAGCGCCCCGGGAGCAGCACGCGCCCGAAACGAATGCCCGACTCCCGCTCCACCAATGGGCTAGACGCGCGGCACAACCATGGGTTGGACGCGCATGGGTTGGACGCGCGGCAAGCCATGCGCCTAACCCATGGGCGGCGCCTCTGGATGAGAGCGCGCTCAACGCGGAAGCATGATTCTCGACCCGCCCATGGGTTGGGCTCGCGGCGCGCGCGCTCGGAACGAAAGCTTGATTCCCGACGCGCCCATGGATTGGACTCGTTCGCCTCATCATCGGTCCGCCCATGGGTTGGACACGCGGCGCCCCATGCGTCCAACCCATGGGCGGCGCCCCAGGAGTAGAACGAGCCTGAAACGAAGACTTGACTCTCGAGCTGCTCATGGGTTGAACTCGCCCGCCTCATCGTCGGAGCGCCCATGGGTTGGACGCGCGGCGCGCCAAACGCCCAACCTATGGACGTCGCCCCAGGAGTAGCGCGCGCTCAAAAGAATTGCTCCACCCAGACCCGCTCGCGGGTTGAACTAGATCGCCTTATCGGTGATCCGCGCATGGATGTGACACGCGGCGCACCGCGCGCCCCACCCATGGGCGGCGGTCCGATGGTGCAACAACCCAACTGCCGTCGCACAACAGCTTCTCTGAACGTAGGAATGCAACCGACGCGCATGCCTGGAGAAAGAGCGGGGCTGGCGCTGCGGTCCTCGCCAGCGTCAGGCAGCGCGAGGCAGGCGCGCGGCGGCCGCCGTCGCCGTCGCGCCATCGCCTGCGGGGGCGGCGCAGTGCGCCGGCAGGCCGCGGTGCGACGATATAGAGCGGGGGCGAACGACTCGGGGCGAGGCTGCGGGCGTCATGGCGACGCAGCCTGCGCGGAAGGACAAGAAATAGAACGTTTCCGCGCAGGCCGCAGCATATTCAAGAGAGCCCCGAAGGGAGCAGCAGGGAACATGGCAAAATGCAATGTTGAAGCCTTCTCTCATACACAGCCCTCGAGACTGGCGGACAGCCGTCGAGAAATCCCAGATAAACCTCGCGAGAAGCCCATGGCTCACGGACCATCCCAAGACGCCCCATAATGTTTCTTCAAATATGTTTCGGAGAAGCTCCCGATATACTATTCAGAATTTCCAGTTCAGACTCCTACGCATCCGCGGCCGTCCTAAGACCCCCGTCGTCATGCATTTTCCGGATCTGCGGAAATGGCCGAAGGCCTCGTCCAACAGACAGCCTCCACGCAGGCCGCAGCACTCGACTGCCACCTCCGCCTGCTTCTTTTCAACACATCCACGCATCGACGATCTGCATGCCCAGTCGCTTGCACAGATCGGACCCCAGTCGAGCGCAGGTCGTAAAGTATGAGAAAGCCAAGATGTGCGCCCTGTAATGGTGCGAACTGGCGGGGGCGGGCCTGCGCGCGGCCTCTTCGCTACTCGCTCTGCGACCCGTGCATGCTGCCGCCGTCGAGGTCGTCCATGCTCACCTTGGCCCTCAATCTCTTGCGAGCTCCACCGCGGCTCTCCTGCGAGGCGCCGTAGCCCGCGCCGCCGCCGCTCCCGGAGGAGACGCCGGGCTGCCCCGAGGAGGCGGCGCTGCCGGATGCGCCGCTGCTCGCGCCCGCCTGCCCGTTGCCGACCAACGCGCCCGCAATCGCCTCGCCCAGCTGCTCCGCGAGATCACCGTCGTTCGCGGCGGCACCGGAGGCGCCTGCCCAGCACTTCTTCTCGGACATCGC